CTGCCGCATCTCAATTCAACAGCAGCTCAAGTGCTCGGGAAAGGCTGGAGGAAACTGGCAAAGAACAAGTGCCCTTGTTTTATCATTGCAGCTGGGTTTCCGCGCGAATGCGTAGAAACCACGGGACAGGTGGAGCGCAGCGATGCCCATCTATTTTTTTCCATCTGTAGGACTGACTGCATTTATTCTTTTCTGGACAGGTTCAGCTGAACAAGGCCTGGGTCCCTGCGTTAGCCCGAGGAAGGCTGAGCTCTACTCTGGGCCTGCCACTCTTGTCTCTAACAACGCCATTTCCCAAGTGGGCCTCCAATTTTGCCCCGGATCCTTGTGGGGTCTGCAAAACCATCCTGAACACTTCCCACTCACCCCACAACGGGCACCTCTGCTCCTAGTGCAGCTCCTGGCTACAAGCTGGCCAGGCCTCTTGGAACGTGAGCTCCTGTTGGGAGAGGCCACAAGTCTTAATCACCCGAGGGCCTCACACAACACGCACCACATGGATGATAAGTGTTTGCCAATGCAGAGATCTGAAAGTGCAGACTTCACTTTCCCTACTTCTGAGAACCATCAGAGAAGTCAATCTGGTTAACAAGCACACTAAAAAAGAAACTGGAAATGGGTGGCTTAAAGGTTAGATAGATACATGAAATGCCTTCTCCCTTCCTCTTGGTTCCTGAGCTAGCCTGTCGAAATAAGCTGCAGGCTTCCAGAAACCTCAGCTTCTCTCCCTTCCGAGGTGCTCAGGGGCATGACTTAGGGTTCACTCCTTTTGTGTCCTTCCTGAGATGAAGTGTCTCAGTTTTAGCCAGTTCCTCTAGCATCCTGCGCTTGAGAGGGCACGATGTCACCCATGGCTAAATAACTAAAAAGTGTTGGTTCTTAGAAAGGTACCAGCACAACTGAAGACACTGCACTCTTCAAGAATCCCATGGAAATAAGATTTTGAAGTCAATGCGTTCCTCCAGCCAAGGTTTCCAGAGCGCTGCTGCAGAACTGGAGCCACGGCCCCGCCCCACAGGAACTGACATCCCTGCCTCAACAACTTCCTGTTCTGGGAGCCAGGTGGGAATATGAAAATGAAACCATTTAAAAAGTATCGAAAAATACCACTGGGAGGAGTCGAAGGAGGCAAATGAAAGCAGGGACAGCTGGGGTGGGGCTGCCGCATGAAATGTGTTTATCAGGGAAGTCCCTGTGGGAGCCACGTATTTCATCAGGACCTAGGTGGGAAGAGCTCTCCGGGCAGCGGGGAGCTTCTATGTAGACCCTCATCTAGGGGTGACCCAGCCGACGTGAGGGGGGCTAGAAAGGGTGTGTGACCTGTCTGGCTAGCTAATTATCTATCTGGCTATCTAATTATCTATCTATCTATCTATCTATCTATCTATCTATCTATCTATCTATCTATCATCTATCTATCTAACAATCATGAGGGCTTCTGAGGCCACTGTAGGAAGTCTGGCCTTTACTTGGAGAGAATAGTAGCCACTAGATGTTTAGGAGCAGCAAGTACGTGGCCTGATGTCATTTAAAGGGTTACTCTGGCTGCTGTGTGGGGTCAGCAGTGGGTGGGGCAGGAGTGGGCAGTGCTGATGGGCCAGGCCAGGGAGGAGTGGGGATCGGTGAAGGATGTAGGTTGATGCCAGGCACCTGCCAAGGAGGGTTCCCAGTACAGAGGGTAGTACAGAAGGCCTGGGCCCCTGGAAGGTGGAGTGGCCCTGGACCACGATGGGGAGACTGCAGGGAGCAGGTGTAGACAAGGAGAGCAGGGGCTGGGCTTTGACTAGGTTTGGCCTGAGGTGCTGTGTAGGCAGTGTCAGCAAGTGGATCTGAAGGTCGTAAAGAGGCAGATGGGATCACTGGCTCCTCCAGGGGCACGCTGGGCTCGATTTCCAACTGCAGGGGCAGTTTCTTTCTTTTTTGTTTTTTTGAGACAGAGTTTCACTCTTGTTACCCAGGCTGGAGTGCAATGGCACGATCTCGGCTCACCGCAACCTCCGCCTCCTGGGTTCAGGCAATTCTCCTGCCTCAGCCTCCTGAGTAGCTGGGACTACAGGCACGCGCCACCATGCCCAGCTAATTTTTTGTATTTTTAGTAGAGACGGGGTTTCACCTTTTTGACCAGGATGGTCTCAATCTCTTGACCTCGTGATCCGCCTGCCTCGGCTTCCCAAAGTACTGGGATTACAGGAGTGAGCCACCACACCCGGCTGCAGGGGCAGTTTCAACCCTGCTGGGGTAGACATCTTCTCTCCCGGCTGGCTAGGTAACCCAGCAGACTCACAGCAGGTCCTTGTTCAATTGCCTCTATACAACTAGCTTATGCACGCTTCTGTGGCCTGTTTCTACAGCTCACTGGATCCCTAATTAATTAATGAGTTAAATAAAATCTTGGACACCTGTTGATTGACTTTGAGAATCACAATTTGACCATTTAAAAGTTATATGGTGACCAGCAAAGATGCTGGTTGGGTGGCTGGCTTTTAGAGCCTGGAGTCCTGGCCCAGGCCAGGCTGAGGTGCACAGGAGAGAGCTGTCCACATTACAAGAGGTATTTACAGCCACAAGACAGAACGATCGATGAGCCAGCCCTACGGTCCACGCCTTATCTAATTTTCACAACTGTCCATGAGAGTAAACATGCTTATTATTAATATTATCCCCATTTTACAGATGATGAAACTGAAGCAGGGAGGTTGAGTAACTTGACAGAGTCCACAGAGCCGGAATTCAAACCCAGGCGGTTGGCTAGAGAACCTTGACTTGAAGCCAGTAGTCCTCAATCTGAGGACACTGGGCAATGGCTGGAGACATTTGTGACAGTCACAACTGGAGGAGGAAAGGCAGATACTACAGCATCTAATGGGCAAGGCCAGGGATGTTTCCTAACGCTCCACGGTGCACAGGACTGCCCCCCACAGCACAGAATTGCTGGGCCCCAAATGTCACTGGCATGGAGGTGCAGAAACTCTGACCTCAGCCGTGACATGGCCACCCTCCAGACTAGGTGGCCTCCTCTTCCACACGCCTCCGCAGCCCTTCTCGCACCTGCAGGGATTTACTTGCTAGTAACGACTTCGGGATCCAGGTTCCCCTCCACACGCCTCCGCAGCCCTTCTCGCACCTGCAGGGATTTACTTGCTAGTAACGACTTCGGGATCCAGGTTCCCCTCCACACTGCGAACACCATGTTTCATTTGCCACCAAATTCCCAGTGCTCAGGCGAATGGCCAGCAAATACTAAACACCTGCTTCACATGAGTCTGGGATTTCTGATATATCTGTGCAGACTCTTTAAAACCCTCAAAGATGTGTGATAGAGAAGCAGAATGAGAAGGTGTGACAGTTACATGCTACAGATTCATATTGCATATAAAATGCATTATCGCATTGAGAGAGCAGGCAGAAAACCTGAAGCCCAGCATCCAGACTTCAAGTCTTGGCTGAGGCTAATTTTTCATTGTCCTTGAAGCTAATCAAGCCTGTGGAAACAGCATCACCAAATTGACTAAACGAGATTTTCAATTAACTCAAACAGATGGCTGAAATTTTCCAGGTGACTTTCCATATTAATTGAGTGAGTTTGCTGGACCAGGCCCCAGGAGGCTTGGCAGGGATGGGGCTGAAAGGAAAACAATAAAATATATGGAACTTCAGGAGAAAAGCCAAAGCAATCATCTGAGCTTTTAAATATCTCAGCGAAAACATCAGCAGCCAACTCAATTCAACTCTCCCAACTAGCGCATGCCGTGGGTTGACGCCCCAGTGCTGGTCCCTGGGACCAGCTGCTGGGGGCCGGGCTCATTAACCCTCTGGAGACTCAGGCCCTCCCATGTTGGGGAGAAGACCCATGCAGGGCTGGAAGGGACAGGCATGGCCTTGCCCTTCCTAGACCACTGGACTTCTGGGCTTGGCCCATCAGCCTGGGGATCCGAAGGCATTTTAAGTTTCACTGAAGAAAGACAGAGGAAGTAATCACAGTAGAATTCTGCAGAGGCCCTGGGCAAAGGTGGCAGTGGAGCCACTGCAGGAGACAAGTACATCATTCAGAGATGTCCAGAGTCACCAGGTGCTGGAGCATCCATCCCTGGGCTAGACCTGAGGCCTCGATTCCTGCCCTTCTGGAAGCTGGCAGAAGCTACTAGTAACATGGAGCTTTGAATGGAGTCATAAAGGGCCAGGCTAGAGGTATGGCAAAATATGGGTCGGGTCTTTGCTGAGCCTCCGAATCAGTTATTCTCGGCTTAAATTGCTACATTTATGGAATTTCAGAATCTATACATGAGGGGTTCCTGGCACTGCTACAGTCCCCTCCTCTTTCTGAATCTCCCATCTCCATTCTTCACGGAGAGAAGGCTGATGCTGGTATAGCTGGACTCTGGAAGTATAATTAGTCCCCAGATTGCTTGAATTTTGGGACAATACCAAACTGATATTCAGACGACTTCACTTAGATCCTAAATCAGTTCTGACTTAGAAAAAGCCAATCACAACCAGATGTTAATAATAATAAGTCAATAACATTGTTAATACCTTCCCCATGGCTGTGACCTTTCCAGCTGGGAGACGTGGCTTTATTAGAATAGGATTCGCCACTGCAAAGTTGCTCCATGCTCTAAAACATGCTCTAAATGCAGCACCATTTATGGAAGGTCGGACTCCATGGATTTCCTTGGGAAAACCACATCATTTTCTCTGGTGTCCCCCTAAGGCGTGCCTGGGGCCCAGTCATACTCCTTCCAGAGGAGCCCAGCTCCTGGGAGGATAAACTGCACCTGACCTCTATCCTGCACCTGACCTAAGGTAAGAAATAATAGTACTTGGTGAATGGTATTCTTTTCCCAGAAAACAGGATCATAAAGCAGTGAGGAAATCTTTAGAAAGGGCACCTTTTCTTTGGACATTTAAATTTGTTGTAAGATAAATCTGATCCAGAAGAGACCATGTACATTGAACATTCATCTTAGTTTTTTAAAATAACATAATAGAAGGCAGCAAACCTCATCCGTGGATCATCAGGCGGCATCATCTCCAGATCATGGGTGGGTCCGTTTAAGCCAATAACGTGTAGGGAAATGCTGGGGTTCTCGCTTCCAGCCTGGGAATTAAAAGGGGCAGAGACATGAACAAGCAGCCTCATGCAAGACCACACCTCAGCTCTGCAAAGCCTTTCCCGGGAGAGTCCCAGGTGGGCCTCGAGGACACGGGAGCTCCATGTTAAGGAGTAGAATTAATGTGGAGAACAGAGGGTTCACGTGTAGGGTTTTCAAAAGGACGAAGGGGTAAGTGGGCTGATTCCTGCTCTTCTAGAATCCCACTTGCTTCCTGTTCCACCCAGCTTCCCAGTTTGGTAATGCCAAGTGAGTACTGAGCCCCTTGCTTAAGAGAGAAGACTAGATGAGGAGTCGGGGAGAGAAGAATGGACTGGATGTCTGGAAGGGCGGAAGTTGGAGGTGAGCAAGAGATGGACATTGAGGAGTGGTGGCCATGCTCAGCGTGGGGAAAGATTAAGTCCTTCAAAAAGGAAGTGGGGAACTCTTTTGCTTCCCTGCTCCACCCTCTGTGGGGGAAAGTATGGGCTGGGGAGAGATGTGGGGTTTCCTCATCAGTGGGACTTCAGGGTCTTGTCTGATGCTCTCACTTCCACCCAGCAGAAGATGCTTGGGCTGATAGGGGCTATCAGCCCCACGACAGGGCATGTCAGGCTGGCTTCCCATTCATGCCTCTGACTGATGAGTGGGTAGGAATGGGGCAAGGAGCGTCTGAATGCTGTCAGCCAGAATATGCTGGTTTTCTATTAAAATATGAAACCCCAAATCTTGAGTAATCTGGGATTTCGTAATCCCAGCTTCAGAGCACCTGTCTGAGAATTCACTATAAAGTAAAGGGTGTCCTACTGGATTCCAGGTTATCACTTCTAGATTGGGGAAACTTCCATAGAAAGATAATCATGGGAACCATTCATCTCTGGGTAGGATGAAGGTCAGACAGCCACTAGCTCTTCTGAGGGGTTGGGGTGGCTGCAAACAGCTTGTAAGAAATGTAGGATTAGAAGGAACCAGCATCAGTCCAGTACACTTTACTCTATTTAACTATGCTTCCAACTAAAATCCTGGACCCTTCCATGTGCTGCGGATTAAGACCAATCGAGGTTAGCTGAAAAAGGACTGAAAGAACTCTGTCAAACGCAAATCCACACCCTGTTGACATCCAGATGCTCTTGGAATCGGAAAAGGTAGAGGAAGAGGAAGGCCACAATGGCCTCATGCTCCTTCCTTCTGAGGCCCCCTTGGATGTCGGCCATGCTGATCAAAGGGCTGCTGAAAGGAGTCTATGCTATGGAGTGTACGGACCAAACACGCCCCTCAATTCACACAGTGCAGCCCTAACCCCCAGTGTGACGCTATGTGGAAGTAAGGCCTTTGGGAGGTTACTGAGGTTAGACAAAGTCAGGAGGGCAGCAACCTGTGATGAGATCCCTGCCCATGAAAGGTGAGGAAGAGACACCAGAGCCCTCTCCTGCCCTTTGCTGTGAAGACCCAGCAAGAAGGTTGCTGTCTGCAAGCCAGGAAGAGAGCCCTCCCCAGGAACCAAATCAGCTGGAACCCTAATCCTGGGCTTCCAGCCTCCACAACTGGCTGAAAGAAATTCCTGCTGTTTAAGCCACCTAGGTCTGTGGTATTTCATTGTGGCAGCTGGAGCTGACTAAGACACCAGGGGTTTCCTTTCTCTAGGCTGTGACTCTGGGAACCTCGCTGGCCTCATGTATTTGCCTTATAAGTTATCACTCCTCTTGCTGCAAACTGTAAGCTAACAGGTCTGTGGGGGTGATTATGGCAGAGCGGGCACATACCATCAGCTCTCAGAGCTCTCAGGTGGGTCAGGATGCTGAGGTTCAAATGCCCGCTGGCAGAGGCAGCCTGTGGCAGTAGTAAGCCTCCAGTCACCAGGCAGGATGCAGGCAGGGAACTGCTCTCCTCTATCCAGCCCAGGGGTCATGGAGAAGTCTAGTGAAGCCAGAAGGCATCACAGCAGACCCTGCATGTCCATGGGAGCTGTGTCCACACTCGGGCACCAGCCTTTCTCCAACTGAGCAGCTGTGGAGGTTTTGGCATCAGACCCTCCACTCACACTGGGATGCTTTGATTTTGTAACAAAGCGAGATTTGAATGCCCCTGCTCACCCCAGTATTCCCTCCTAGCCACTGGACACTTGCTGTTCTACCAGCTCATTGGGTCAGAACATGACTGTCTTGGTCCCTCTAGGCTGCTAGAAGAAAACACGGTAAACTGAGTGGCTCACAAACAATGGCAATGTATCGCTCACAGCTCTGGGGACTGAAGTCCAAGGTCAAGGGGCTGGCTGATTCAGTGTCTGGCAAGGGTCCAATTTCTGGTTCACAGAGCATGCCTTCTTGCTGTATCGTCACATGGTAGGAACAGGGAGGGGTCTCTCTGGGGTCTCTTTTATAAGGTGATACGATTTGGCTGTGTCTCCACCCAAATCTCATCTTGAATTCCCACATGTTGTGGGAGGGACCCAGTGGGAAATAATTGAATCCCGGGGGCAGTTCTTTCCCATGCTGTTCTCCTGATAGTGAATGAGTCTCATGAGATCTGCTGGTTTCAAAAAGGGGAGTTTCCCAGTACAAGCTCCCTCCTCTTGCCTGCCACCATGTAAGATGTACCTTTCACCTTCCAACATGATTGTGAGGCCTCCTCAGCCACGTGGAACTGTAAGTCCAATAAACCTTTATTTCGTAAATTGCCCAGTCTTGGGTATGTTTTAATCAGCAGCATGAAACCTGACAACTCCATAAGGGCACAAATCCCAATCATGAAGGCTCTGCTCTCCACGTCCCGTTACCTCCCAGTGATCTCCCTCCTGATGCCATCACCTTGGGGTTAGGATTTAAAGTATGAATTTGGCAAGAACATAAACATTTAGCCCATAGCAGTGACCACATGCAAAACAGCCTCGCCCAGACCCAGGGGGCCAGGGTCAGATGGAAGTCTTTCTGTCCCCGCTTCCCGAGAGGCCAAATACAAAATAGAAATAAGACCCGCGAGAGAGGGCAGGTGAGCTTTCATCACTGGGGAGTGGGGAGGGGAGGAACCCTATGTATTTTAGTTCAGTGAAGCTCAGTCAGGTGATGAACAGTAGTTAGATTATCTTAAAGAAGTAAACCTGCCAGCAACTCAGCTCAACAGAGGTGGGAATGTAATGCAATGTAAGAGACATGATTAATCTTTCTCGAGTTAATGGGCTTCGCTCACACACACATCTGATGATCACGTCCGCACACTGAGTGAGCAGGCTGGGGCGCTCATGAATAATTTAAAGGATTTGCTGTGTGGTGTCCCTTCACCTACCTTGGGATAGTGGTAGGGCTTCACGGTGGGGTAGATGGAGCCGGTGTAGGTCGGGAGCTCCATGAGGGGGACGCGGGAATCGTTGATGGTGGCGTAGGCGAGTCTCGTGCCATCTGGAGACCACCAATGTGCAATGTGTGTCTTCAAAATCTCCTCTAAGGGAAAACAGAGTAGAGAAATGTGAATAGCAACAAGTGGAGTGGAAATTGGAGCTGCACAGGCAGGAACGTGAGATGGCCAGGAGAGAGATGAGTCCCCTTGGAGCCCCTTATCTGCTACAACCTTTGAGGAACCTCCTCTGTGTCCTGCACATGCTTCCATTCCACAGGAGCTCAAGAAATGTCTGATGTGGATGACTATAACTCCAGCATGGGAAAACCCCATTAACCAAAGCTCAACCAGACAGATGCTGATCGTCTGGAAACCTTTCTCTTTGCACACATTGAGTACTATGGGTCCAACCGAACTATGACTGTACTATTCTTGATTATTTAAATATGATTTGAAAAACAGCACTAGAGAAAGTCAATTCACATGGAAGCATGTCCCACGCAGGCAGAACCACGTGAGAACGTGAGCTCTGGCAGAGGCTGAGTCCCCTGAAAGCAGGTCAGGAATTCATGCACACACGGCGCTCCCTTATCATAGAATGTATCAAAGGCCGAGCATGCCCCTTGCTGTAGACAAAGGGTGCACGCTCATTACGCATGGCTTCTTACAGTAAGGGTACAAGATCCCTGCATGTGGCAGAACACCTAAATGGACCCACCTTCAGAAGGACTGAAATGGAAAGTGTTTCTCTTGGGTGTCAACCAGAAACACCCATTATTCTTTCCTGGCGCAAAGTGTCCTGGTTAGAGTTTTTAATGACAGAAGAGCTTTGCAGGGTGTGGTATCTTTTCTGGATGGGAAAATTCTACAGCATTTTTTTCAACACGTTGGCGAATACACTTCCCGAGTGCAACCAGTCGGAGAACCCATTTCATTGCTAACAGCTCTTAAGTCAAGGGGTTCTATCTTGCTCAGGGTGTATATAGTGTGTAAACGAATTCCCTCTAGATTTGTTTCTAAAATAATGATTAATATAATTTATGAGTCCCATTCAATGGGTTATTAGGTGTGTGCCATGAACCCGCTCTGTGTACCTGTAGTGTAGAAAGGTGACGAAGGAGCCTGAAAACATTTTGCAAAAAACAAAATGGGTGCAACAAATATAGCAGAACAATGTAAATTGGAAGGAAGCCGAGGCCTGACTGCCCACAGGAGGGCACGATCCCAGACAGGGAAAAGGCAGCCCATGTCAGCAGCCTCCCAGCCCCGTGGGGACAGGGCAGGAGGAGATCAGCTGGCCAGGGGGAGGGTTTATGAAGCAGGGCTCAGTGTCACCCACGGGGGCATTTCACAGCCAAGTCCAGAGGCCTGAGGCAGCATGCTGCCCATGCTCCTCCTGGGGTAGGAGGTGGAGCCAGGCTCTGAGGGTGCAGTGTGTCTGCCTGCCCCTCCCCTCCCTGCCCAGGTGTCTGTGGCACCTGGCGTGGGGCTGACGGGAACGCTGCTCCTCCATGAGCCTAGCTCCCTTGTCACAGCAGTCTTCCTCTTCTTGTCTTAGCCAGACACCCCAGCAGAGAGCCTGCCACCGTAGGTAGTGTCCAGTCTGCCGGAGACTCCAGCACAACTCAGTGGAGTCTCCCGAAATACGAAGCCCATGGTGGGTCTGACCTCCTGTTCCCTGGTGCATCTCGGAGTATGGAGAACACTGCTCGGTGAAAAATGAATTCAGGAGCCCTGGTGTGCTGGGCTCGAGCCCCAATCCTGCTGTGTGTTCTTGAGTCCCAATCTGCAAAGCTAGGGCACAGAAACCGCCTCTAGGGTCCCCTTCCCCTCTGCGACTGTCTCACGGCCTCAGAAGCTTGGCCGGTGCCGACAGAGGCTCAGACTCCTGTGGAGGTCAGTGAGGAGAAGACAAAGGAAGCACGCCAGGCTGCCAGGGCCTGTAATTTTCCAGCCGCTTTGGCAGCCAGGAGGTGGATGTTCAGGTGCGAGTTTGGGATGAGGTGACTCAGAAGTGACTTTAAGCAGAGTCACCGGATCTGCCCCGGCTGCTTGCTTGGAATGGTGAGTAATTGACTCCAGCAGATGGTATGCTGGAAAAAATAGGCACCATTTGCAATGCAATTTGTGGGTGATTGTGCTCAATCATGTTTGCTGCAGTGAAGAAAGGGGCCAATGGGGCCCGAGTAGAGTCCCTGGGAGTGAGCAGAATTCACAGGATAGAGGCGGAAGGCGCAGCACCCAAAGAAATCATCAGAGGAGCCCTGCAGCGGCTTCATTAACTCACAGCCAACTCGGGAAAATCCGAAACAGAAAACGGCTGGCTGCAACCAGGGCTTTAAAAACGAAGCAGCTTTGGACACAAACAGCAATAACAAAACCCCTGATGAGACAACTCATCTGTTTCTTTTCTTTGAACCCAAAGCAATCTTCTGAGACCGGAGGGATGGAGCATCATCAGCCACATGCAACATCAGGCCACTTTCATTCCTACCCCATAGGTTTCACGAGAGGCAACCAGGCAAGGGGGGCAAAGGTCACTTTTCATTTCCACCCAAGGTGTTTGTATCTAATTTCTGGACTCACTCTCTGACCTAAAGGGAATGCTGGTGCTTGGTTCTGACCAGCATGGGCCAGGCTGGGTCATGCTTGTTGGGCCAAGAGACAACAAACGTGGGTGAAGGCTGGCCCGAGGCTGGGCTGAGAAATGGGCTCCGTTACCATCCAGCTCATCAGCGAATGCCACAGTGTTTCCATGAAGCTCAATTCACTAGATAACTGGGAGGGAGAACGAAACCATCACTACACATTACAAAATGTAATGGTCAGAAGGGAACTTAGAGACAGGCATGTAATCCCAGCACTTTGGGAGGCTGAGGGCAGATCACTTGAGGTCAGGAGTTCAAGACAATCTTGGCCAACATGATGAAACCTCATCTCTACCAAAAATATATGCCTGTAATCTCAGCTACTCAGGAGTCTGGGGTAGGAGAGTCATCATTTGAACCCGGGAGACAGAGGTTGCAGTGAGCTGGGATTGGGCCACTGCACTCCAGCCTGGCTGATGGAGGGAGACTCTGTCTCAAAAAAAAAAAAAAGACGGGAACATAGAGATTATCAGGTCATCGGGTTCAGGAACGACAGGTACCTGGTATGTGTGACGGCAAAGGCTAGTTCCTCTCAATGCCATCCCACATTGAGATGGTGGCACATGCAAATAAACTGTGCCAAGCCAAAATGCCAGCTATACAAGACCAGGGCAGCTTGAGTTTATTTTCCCTAAGTGTCCCTGAACACATCACTCCTTGCCATTTTTATTTTCCTGCATGTTAGTTGCTCATTAAAGAGATAATGAAATATAAGAAACTAAGTGGTAAAGGACCGGGCAGAAGAAACCTTGACATTTTAGCATGAGTTCCAAATGCCCCTATTCTGCAAACATTTTTCTGCAGGATTCCAGCTTAATGAGGCAGTTGGTTTAAATGCCACGCACCAAATGTAGTTCAGAAACAGTTTTGCAGAAGAAGATAATCTAGTTCATCAATAAAATAATTGCATGGACACCTTCCTTGGAACAAAATGAATCACTTGGCTTTCTGAGCAAGTACAATTAACTCTGGAAAACTAGAGAATACATCTTTTCTTCACCTTCCCCGACCTGCTGGGGGCTATTTTAGCATCCGAAAAGAAAGATACATCCGGGGACCATCGGCGGTCAATGGCTGCCTCTCTCTTGAAGATGCCAAACGTATCCACAGCTTCAGCCCAAGGTAGGATCTGGGCTGTTTTTTAATTTTTTTCATTTCTTGTCACTGTACTTTGAAGAATGAATGACATTTGGAGTGTTAGTCCTTTCTGTCCAATAGCATTAAGGCCATATCCAACAGGAAAAAATCCCTTTGAGCTCAAGGCAATAAAGTCCAAAGCAACAATGAAGAGGAATCTTCCCATTTTCCAGGTTGTTTGACTGAAGAGGCGGCTGCCACGATTATTTCTCATTTGCCCAGCGAGGTTTAGGGTGGTTTGCAGGAGAGCCCGCTGGGATGCTGGGCACATGCGTGTGCGGCTAACACCGGTACCGGGGCCACACTGCAGGCAGGAGAATCCGTCACTGTTGGGGGCAGTGAGGAGGGTACAGGCTCCTTTTCTGCAAAACCTCTTCGGCTGACTTTGGTGTATGTTCTAGTTAACAATGACTAGCCAGAAAAGAGGAAATCCTAGCATTTGCAACAGAATGGATAAACCCGGAGGACTTGTGCTAAGTGAAATAAGCCAGGCACAGAAAGACGAATGCTGAATGACCTCACTCACATGTGTGCTGTGGTTTGGAAGTGGTCTGTTTGTCCCCACCAAAGCTCCTGCTGAAATCTGATCCCCAGTGTGGAGGTGCCAGGAGGTGGAGAATAATGGGAGGGGTCTGGGTGATGGGGCTGGATCTCTCATGAATGGTTTGGTGCTGCTTTCTTAGGAGTGAGTTCTCCTTCTGGGGAGAATGTGATGCACCTACAAGCTTATATTAAGTCCCCTTTACAACTGAGGAATTGGAGGTTCAGGGAAATTAACCTTATCGAACAAGGATACTCAATACACACAATTCCCTATGGCATAGTAAGGTAGAGACAAAGCTTAGAAGTTTGTGATACAGTAAACAGAAGGAGACCTGCAACTTGCAACTTGGGGAAAGTGGGCAAGGTAGAAACGAGAAAGAACTGCGGAGTCTGGAAACAGATCTCTCTCTTGTTGGAGGAAATTAGAGAAGGCTCTTGTGGAAGGTGGAATAGCAGAACCTACTCATTATCCCCCAATGCCCCCACGCTCCTTTCTCTTTTTAGTAAAAGAACCAATGGCTTGTAGGTGGGCTCATGGCCTCCCAGGATGAAGACCTTTCCCAGCCTCCCCTGAAGTGAGGTTGGGTGGGTGCTGAGTTCCTGCCGCTGGGGTGAGAAAAGATGAGGAGTGGCACCTGGATCCTGCATTTAAGAGGAAAGGGTGTGACCACATCCTCTCTTTCCCACTTTCTGCTGGCTGGAGTGGAGATCTCACTATCATGGACCTAACAGACCTGGCATAAGGTGAATTCTTGAGGTTGTTAGTAAGACATAAG